TATATATATATATATATATATATATATACGTATATATAACGCATATACTAAATACTGAGTTATTTGCCGAACCAAACCAAAATTCTGAAAGTTATTCATCTAGTAGTTATCAGCCTTGAACTTTTTTTTGCTTCTAGCATTTATGCTTAAATTCCGTACATCTGTTTTTTGAGTGGAGATTTTTTATCGCCAGTAACTTTTTTAAGCTACAAATTAGCATTTTTATTAAAAAACATGAAATGCATTTTTTACAAAATTTTTGCGTCTTTGAATGAGAATTTCTAAACAGCAACTAAATGCTGCACTTTCGATAAAGTGTCGCTTTCGCAGCAAAATGTTCTCATTCTGTAGCTTTTATTAAAGCCTCAATTGTTGAGTGTAGTTGCCTTAGAATAGCCTCATTATTTCCGGTTCCATGGTTCCACTTAGCCTAAGAAAAAGTTCTTTTGCCTCGTTTATCCAAGCAAAAAGTGCAAAGCTCTTGCTGTGCGCGAATGCCACAGATAATTGTTGCTTTTTCATGCCTCAATTGCGCCTTCACTTCTCATTTCGGATTAGTTGTGGATGAAGAAAAAAACATAGTTATGCTGGCAGCGTGCACAAGCAAAAGAATATTTTTTGATTTTTGTTGAGCACATTTTGTGAATACGCGGAGGGGTGATTATCATGGAATAAGTAATTCTCACGAGAAAATAAAGCTTTGAGACGCTTCAGTAATGCTTCACATAATTTACATTCAGGCTGTACGTCAATATTGGTACTTGAGCACGTTTCCGCATGTATCCCTTCAATTAACTTAGGTTTTAGATATCCGAGATCCGATGCTGACTTAGTTGCATCGAACTTCTAATGACCCCGAAAAAGTGACCCAAACAGGCTGTAAAGTACTAATCGGAGATGTGCAGCCCAGAATAGAATAGACCTGGTACAACTGAGCCCAGCATGCAGTAGCTTCTCAGCAACACCATTTGCTTGGTATGCTCACAGTGATAATCCGAACAGTCTTCATATTCTTGGCACTTTTCCAGCACAGTGAACATTTGACCACTCTTTTCACTTTACAGCATAGCTGGGGAAGAAGAGGGAAGATCGTAAAAAGAGGCAAAGAAAAGTTTGCGAATGAGGGATTCCAGAGAAATTTTTATAGGAAGAGAAGCAATGATATTTTTGTTGGTTTCTGCAAAAGCATTTTGGAACGCCTTTTTTTTAAATGTTTTTTTTTCACTGTTTCATTAAAAGTGCCTAAGGCATATGCGCTTATCTCAACGACCTATACGTCAGAGGCGAATTCCCGCGCTGTAGTGAAACGAAGTTAACGTTTCAGTGTGTGTGTGTGTGTGTGTGTGTGTTGTGTTTGTATTTAAGTATGATTGAATATATGTGCGTGTGTGTCCAGTAGACAAAAGTAATATTTTTATTAAAATTACATATTCCTGAACGTGTGGCAAATTTCAGGTATAAACATTCGCGTGATTATCCTACACTGGCGCCTTACCGAATGGACGCCAATCATTGTGGTACCACACTTGGTAGTACAATAATTGGCTCACGCATTGCTGCCAACGACTGGATCTCCGAATCGACTCCGCTTGATGAAGTGCATAGGTGCTACCATCTTGTTGATCAACCTGCGTCCAACGGTACTTTGAAAATGAAGTAGCACGAAAGTGCCGAATGAAGTCTAAGGGTTTTTTTAAGGCGGTTTTTTAAAATTACGAGTTTCAAAAGAACTCCAGTAAATCTGCTGCATATCCTGGATTAAAAATGAAAAAGAAAACCAAAAATGGATACAAACAGTGAAGAAATTTTGATAAAAACACTACCTCAGTAAGCAAATAAGCAGTTATTGGGTTAGTTGATTTGTTAGCAAGTTAGTTAGTTTATTCAGCTATTGAGCTTAAAGCATTTTTAGAATTTTTAAGGTTTTAACAACAGTTCTGAGAGCAATAACGCTTATCAAAAATTCGACTGAAGAGCCTGGCATAGGTCGCTTAATGTATAACCTTGTTGCAATCGCCGATATCGGATCTCCACACCAGTCATCCGGGCGATCTTGATAAACTTAGCAATGAAGGTAGAGTGAGTGACAGGTTAAAACGTTTTTGCTGCACCTGGTTTCGTTTAAAACTATCATCT